TCACAGGGTGTATGAAATCTACCCCAATTCTAGCCTTATTGACAGAGACAGGTGAAATCCCCCTTAGATTTAGAAGAGAATGGCTATCCCTTAAGTACCTAATTAAAAATATGTGTTTAGTAAACAATCCCATTATCACTGGAACAACAAAAGTAATCCTCTACTAATCCAGCTGATCAGTCAATTCGATGTCGTGAATCCTCACCTATATACTTCAGAGCTTTTACCATGTTAAAAATTTGATTTCCAACCCCAATTGGCCTCCATTCCTATCGTAAACATTGGCGCTACTAAATCTGAAAATATAGGAATTGTACAATATCGGAATATCATCAGGAAATACCCATCTTACACCAAGTTCTTTACTGATGGTTCAATAGATTCTTTCGGTCTCTCAGGGTTTGGAGTGTATAGTCCAGATATAGATTATGCGTTCTCAAGTAAGCTTCCTCTCCATATTCAAATTTGTACAGCTGAAGTTTTAGCTATCAACAAGGCCTTGCAAGTAATATTAGACAAAAATATCGTTCAATCCATTATCCTCTCAGACTCCAAAGCTGCACTTCAAAAAATAGCAAGATCATACTTTTCCAGGGAAACTGAACATTGTTCCTTCTTGACTAAGGAAGGTATCTTACTCGCAAATAATTCTGGCATGGATTCCAGGCCACTCTGGGATTCTGGGTAACTTCAAGGCAGATCAGTTGGCAAATATAGGAAGATCTCTGAATATTCCAGTGAATATCAAACTAAACTCATAATTTCTTTCCATTCATCAGAAACATTGTGAATTCAAGATGGCTTGAAGAATGGAATAGCCTCAAGAGTAGAAAGAATTCCTTTTATTCTAAAGTCGTTCCACGATTTGATAAAATCCCTTGGTTTAAATTTTCCCTATAAGGACAAAAGCCATTTAACTACAATAATTAGGATGAGGACAGGACATTGCCTATCCCCATATCACTTATTTCGTATAGGAGTAAAAGATGATCCATTTTGTGAGTTTGGTCAAATTGGCTCATTAAACCACATTATCTTTGAATGTCCCATAAATATGATGGCAAACTTTGATTTATACTCTGAACTGGCAAACACCAAGCTTTCTACTTCCGTTGACATTTGTTTTATGTTGGCTAACCTCAATAATAGCAGATTAAACATTCTAATCAAATTTTTAAATATATTTAAAATTCAATTATAACCCTAATACTTTATCCTCTCTTTCAGTCCTAGGTGCTCCTTCTATTTACCGTTGGCAGTTTCCTGGTTGTGTTCAGCTTGGCGACTGCCCCCAAGCGAGAAAAGTTTTTATCCTGTGTTGTGACGTCTATATACTAACTTTGTATGCCCTTCTACGTATATAACACAAGTAGTAACATTAATAAGCTTTTTACTATATATCAATTTAATAGAGGGTATCCAATTGCTGAGAGCAAGACAAGGATACTCTCCCTGTTGTTGGCTGGGTAAATTATCCTGTGGGATATAACCACATACTTAAATAGGTATACGGCGTAAAACCCTCTGCGCATCTTTACTGAGTGTTTAATAAAAGAAGATAGAAATGACCGCCATTTTTATATAAACAAACTGAAACTTATGCAACCAATTTATCTTTCCATCTGTCGAAAGTGTCAAATTTTAATGTGTTTGTGAATTTGGTTAAATTTTTTTGTGTTATTTTAGAATATTTTGATTGTGGATATTATTTTCTAAGTGTATAAACGTTTTATTTATTTTAACATTTGTTGTATTTGTTGTATTCAAGATGTCTTGTAAGATCTTGCAAGAACATAAGAAGACTGTTGCCAATAGATTCAAATGTTACATTCCACAAGTAATAAGATTTAGAAAAAATAAAGGATATGAAAGCAGTGTCTTTATATTATTTTAGGGTTCCAAAACAAGCAGATCGTTCCTTATTGTGGTTATCTGCCATATAGAGATTGGACAAAATTTCTTTTAAGTTGTTAGTACAATTCACTGCAGAATCAATAAGGACGACCCATTCACTAAAAATTTGTAGCTTTTAGAAATTATACAAGAAGAAAGTAAATTGTTTAAAATAAAACAAATATGCAACCATCAATTTAATTTTAAAGTATCCTGGAAATTTTAATATTTTTAACTTCCTCTACTGTACTTTTGTCATTTAAAATTAATATTTAGGTATTTAATCTATTATTTGTCGGCCTATTATTTATCAGCCTAACATGTATTTTTAAACATTAAAATATTTTTTTTTGTTGCAGAATAAAAATTTAATTCAAATATAATATTGTATTATCTCTTTTAAAAAATCTGTACAAAATTATGTATTTAAAAGTGGAAAAACCTAGACATCTGCAACCAAGTTTTCATATTGCTGTATTTCTGGTCACCTATGTACTAGTAATCTTGTATAAAAATGGCCGCCCCTATGTTAAACAGGTCGGACGTCTCTCTTGCTCCGTGTACCTATTATAAGTATGTGGATATAACCCAATAAAGAAGAATTACAAATAAGACATAACCTTATACATTTTGAGGGACACTTTTTGTATATATAGTTTTCCTTACATCTACTCCATTAATCGGAGGTAATCGCGATTTATATTAATTTCGCGTGCCTGTCATTTGTCACCTATAAGTAAGATATTTGTTTATTTACATTGTTTAAGGTTTGGGCGGAATTTTGTATATATGATTTTGTAACTGTTTTTAGATGTATTAAATAATAATGAACTCAAGATTAAAACACTTCATATAAACAATTTACCTTCAAATGAACAAATATCTATCTACGAAATGCAAGTAGAACACATTCGCGTTGAGGTAAAAGGTTGTTTTCGATTTTTAGAATAGAAATCCTCCGTTTTCGCATGTACAAATGCCTATTTTATTTTTTATAAGTTCTTTACGGTTACCCTTCTTTGGAAAATGACGAAATAAACTTAACGATTCCGTTTTGATTTAAAAGCACAACCTTTATTACAGCAATATAGATACAATTTGCTGGACGATTTTTCGAAAATTTCATTTTAATAATAAACACTATAACAGTTATGACACACTAAGGGAAATAAACAAATTTAATGCCCACAAACAAGAAAATTTCGAATTGATAAAAATTACTATCGTTGACAACCAGAGATAATAGAACAGACAACACAACAAGACCAATGTTGCCAAGTGATGAATTGAATTTAAAACAAAATTGGTAAATGAACTGAAATTAAAAAAAAATGAATATAATTAAATCGGTTTTATAAAAAATCATTAAATAAATATAAAGTATGGTAGACAAATTTGGCTACCCAAAAAAAGTTATTTCCACTTCTTCAAAGGCTAAAAATCCGCTGATGTAGCGGAATTTCGCTACTGCTGGCAACACTGAAAAAGGTCCTACCTACCTTTTACAAATTTCCTCTAGAGGGCGTATCTCTTAGCTTGAATCTCGGACACTCTGTGGTTAGATCGCAAATCCAGATATGTTGAAAAAGGTAAAAAATAAGCAATGTATTATGTGATTTTGTCCACTTCTAAATACGAAAAGTATATCATATGTGGATTTGAATATATACAGTATATTTATACAGAAAAGGTATTCGCCATAATTATATCGTTTGGCAATCAAAATTGCTGGGACATAGAGTTACCACGTGTATTGTGGAGGTCAAAATATGTGAATTGAACACAATTTTTGCACGTTGTTCAGAAATGCGTAAAAAAATTTAATGAAATGTTTCAAAAGTACATTAGAGTATTAGAGGAAATAGGGGATCAGTAGAAATACTTATTACAAAATCATTATTACTTTTGGAGATTTATTACTTTTAGAGTAAAATGCTTAGATAAAAGAGACCGGTAAAATGTCACAATCTTAAAACAATATTGCAAAAACTCCGTATGTAGCATAGTTTCAAAGTAAAAATATTTTTTCTTACCCCACATGGATATTAGCTTATCTACGCACAGACTACAAAACGAAAAAGTAGGACACACAAACAAAAGTCATGATTTTGACAGGAAACAAATTCATAATCGTCACCGTTTATTGTTGACAGTAAATGTTTCAATAATTTCTTCTTTTTTTTTTTTCAGACAAACGGTACATTTTGGTATATACATTAAGAATGGGACACAGAACAACTGAAAATTATCTGATTAAAAGTAAGACGATTAAACGAAACAACCTTAAATAAAATATTACTGGTTTCAGAAATACAGGGTGTTAAAGTTGAAAATTCCAAAATTATTAATGGCCATAGTTTTTTTATTTCTCAGTATAATTTTACTAAATTCAGTAAATATTGTTGGTTTCATAAGATACAGCAAATCAATCGGTTAAATAAATTTTACCAGTGGCGTACAACATAGATAAGTAACACTTTCATCCCCTCTTAATTTTACACCACTTTCAAAAACTTATTTTGACTATACTTTTACATTTTTTTATGTTTTTTTTTTTAAGTAAATCTTGTACTCTTGTTGGGAACTCTAAATGATTGGTTTTCGAGATATGCATTCTCAAAAATCATGTACTCTTGTTGGGAACTCATAAAGTGATTGGTTTTCGAAATATTCACTCTCAAAGGTGGATATTCTTCATTTTAATTTATTTTGAAATTTTGATTTTTTTTATAAAATTGCACTGATCAAATGTTTTTGGTGTCATGATGCATCAAATCAGCAAAAAATCAGTAAAATAAACTTTGTCAGTGGCGTACGTCATGGGTAAGTAACACCTTAATTTCTTCTAAATTTTACGCCACTCTCCAAACGCTTATTTGGACTATAAGTTTGATTTTTTTCATGTTTATTAAATAAATGTCATGTACTCTTGTTGGAAATTTATAAAGAAATCCAAAATAACAAAATAAATTAAAATGATGAATGGCCACCTTTGAGTGTGAATATCTCGAAAACCAATCATTTTAGGGGTCATCCATAAATTACGTCACACGTTAAGAGTGGGGAAGGGGGTCGACGAAGTGCGAAATTGTGGGACAAGGGGTGGGAGGGGTCTTACATTTCGTGACGTCACATTTGTAAAAATAATATCGACTTAGCATCAGAACTTCGAGATACTGTTGGTCGTCGTAGAGTAGAAGAAAACCAATCCGGTATACTTGAAGTCATAAAGGAGCTTGCAGTTTTTGGTGGCACCGCTGATGAACGACGTCGCAATGAAACTATAAGATGCTGCAAAACTGGACGATTTACAAGCCGAACTTTGTAAACAGAGATATAGTATCAGTCGATCAGGGTTATACTTCAGACTTCTTCCCAGACGAGTCAATACAGAGAAAGGAAAGAGACACGTCGTAACTGTTCCTGTTAAACTATGCAAACCAGATTCTACGCTACATTTGAAACATAAAGATGGTACATTCTGTATTGCTGCGATAAGAAACCTTGAATCTTTAGCTTAAATTTTGGGCCCTGATCAAGTTTTCTTTTTATCAATGGATGACAAAGCACGCGTGCCTTTGGGTATTATAGCAGAAAATGCTCATGCACCTTGATTATCGTGTATAATTACCGGATCATGATTTCGTGGTCACAGAAAAACAAACTTATTCCTTCTGTTTATGCAGGTATTGTAATAAAGAAAGATGGTGAAGGGAAACCTGAAGCTGTGACACACGCAGGGCCTACATACGTAGCAATTCGTAGTGGAAAGCATTCTTCCTTTAATGCAGAGACTCATGCCACAGGCATACATAGACTTTCTGAAACACCTGCTTTTAAAAACTTTATGAGAACTCAAAAAGGTTTTGTAAAACCCGTATTTATTTTTACTTGTGATGGTGGTCCCGGCGAAAATGCACGATACGAGCGAGTTACAGTTTCAGCTATACAACATTTTAAAAATTTTGACTTTGATGCTATTTACATTGCCACAAATGTTCCAGGAAGAAATGCTTTCAACAGAGTGGAACGATGAATGGCGCCTCTTAGTCGCGAATTTACTGGTCTATTAAAACATGACAATTTTGGTTTAGATCTCGATTCCAGTAATCGAACTACTGACTTGGAGTTAGAAAAACGAAACTTTGAGAGTACAGGCATTGCGCTGTCTAATATTGGAAGCCAATTGGTCATTGATGATTTTCCTGTAGTTGCCGAATACATTGTGCCAACAGATACTAGATTGGATATTGAACAGGCTAAGATATTGAAAAATGATGCGACTTGGTACGCAAATCATGTGCGTGAATCGGAATATTTATTATAAATAGTAAAATGCAAGGTTGTCCCTGTTGTGGTGTGCGACGGTCTAGCCTTTGGCGACTATTACGAAAGGGGTTTTTACCACCACCTGTTTTAGTTAAACAGACGTCAAACGTGTATGTAACCATAGAAAAAGATGACTCCGAAGGTAAATTTGCTCCACTGTTACTTCAGCTATCTTTGGCTCCGAGCATCATCACATTTGAAGCAAGTTCCGTATGATAGCTATTGCCCCAGTGTCGAGGCATACTTGTTTAAGCGATCGTGGTCTATATTTTGCATTATACAAGGCGACTAACCAACACAAGCAATCACATAAGAGGCAACAAGAAGTTTTGTCCATCGCGAAGATTTATCCTCAAAGAATTGCTGCCAGACGTGTCAGAGAAATTCTTTGTTTGGATAACGATGATGCCATTTGGTTGGATAAAAAAGATGTTGACACAACGAATGTTCCTGGCAATAACCTAAACGAGACCGAATTGACTGCTATGCAAGTTATAAATAATTTAAAGGAATGGGTTCAAAGCCCATGGACTCTAGATGAATAAGTTTGAATATTCAATGATATAAATAATCGTTTTTTGTTTTGTTAATTTTTTCAAATGTTTGATTTGATGTTGATTTTATTAAAAATAATTTAAATGGAAGTAAAACTAATTCGGAACTGCTGTTCTAATTTAATAATTTCTAGATGTAAAATTGAAAAATATGTGATGTCATACTAGGGTCACAAATGTGACCAGCTGTGACTAGGCCGGGGAGGGGTCAAAAATACATAAAATTAGTGTGACGTAATTTATGGATGGCCCCTTATGAGTTTCCAACAAGAGTACATGATTTATTTAAAAAATGTAAAAGTATAGCCCAAATAAGTTTTTGGACAGTGGCGTAAAGTTTAGAGGGGATGAAAGTGTTACTTATCCGTGTTGTACACTGGTAAAGTTTATTTAATTGATTTTTTGCTGATATGTGTATCTTATGACACCAACAATGTTTACCGAATTTAGTAAAATTATAGTGAGAAATAAAAAAAATTATAGCCATTAATTATTTTTAAATTTGGAAAACCAGTAATATTTTATCTATGCATGTTTCGTTAAATCATCTTATTTTTCGTCAGAGAATCTTCAATTGTTCTGTGTCCCATTCTTAATGATGCATATAAATTGGGTCCATGGGTTAATCGACTTATTTTGACCTTTACAATACGTGGTAGCTTTGTTCCAGCAATTTTGTGCATAAAATACAGTAGGTGCAGGACTCACAAAACCCCCCGTGCTATGCCACTGAGTAGGTGGTATGTATATTTTAAAATTACCACAAATTGACATGTATGGTTTTGCTGTCAAAGCACATAACTATACCATTGTATATAAATAAGACTAGTAGCCCCCCCCCCCCCCCCTCTTATGGATATGTGGCTTCCAGACTTCTTTTTCGTTTTTATAAAAAATCGCAGCTAGATCATTCTATATGCTTTATTCTAATATTTGCTTTGCTTGTCTTCGTTATTTTTTCTCAGATCTTAACAAAATAATTCTAGATGGATTAGAAATCTATCCAAATTTTCAGAGGAAACGATACCACCAGGGCCGACGAGAGGGGGGTAGCCGGGACTAATTCCCGGGGCCCTGGCTAAAGTGGGGGCCCGGCAGTGGCACAAGGGGGCCCCGCAGCTTTAAACGAGATCCTTTTTTTACCACTATTTTGTGAAACTTGCTCCAAAACCTTTTATCCGCTCTTTTTATGTACTTTTGGTAGAAGCCTTGAAGTAACCTAATTATAGTAACAAATTATGATAAATATTGAAATTATAATAACCGATAAAATTAAACTAATAAGAATTTAGATCATACATCGTCTATTTGCTCAAGTTAAGGCACAATATTGTATACACCTTTCCTAGATATTTCTATTCCTATACAATTTTTAGCACGGAGATTAGATATAAAACATTTCTTACACAATGTACCTAAAAACACGGTTCTTTGTTGTTTTTATATCCTTATACTTTTGTTGAAAATGTATCTTGAAATAAAGACAAAATACAATTTATTAGTTCTTTATTTTTTATTCCTTCATGCAAAGAATGATAACAATAAGAACACCTCAACGTCATAACTATTTTTTCAAACATTTAATTAATAATGGGACACAAAACAACTAAAGATTATCTGATTAAAAATAAGGCGATTAAACGAAACGTGCTTAGATGAAATATTACTATGTAGTTTCCGAAAAACACGATGTTTAGGAGTACATTCTACTCTACACGATGGCGAAAGCGTATATACAAAATTTTCTAATTGACTATGATTTGTATTTTCAGGACAGAAAGTTTTATGGACGAAACAATTTAAAAAAGTATACGCCATAGATAGTATTGCTGAATACCATGGACATAATGTATTGAGATTTTCCCCGTATTTTGGTATGTGTTAATAGGATATAAAACCACATACTTTAGACGAAAAAGTTATTCTATTGCTTAACCAGTGGCGTTTATCTTATCTTTTATCAATTAAATTAAAATTTCTTAAATTTGCAGTATTGACGATTAATTTTAATTATTTTAATCTAAAACCGAGCGGCTGGCGAGAAAAATACAAGATACAGAGATGCCACTGGTAGAGCAATAAAATAAATTTTCCAACTAAAATATGTGGTTTTATATCCTATTTTCAGAGATATTAAAAAATATCTCTTTAAAAAACAAATTTTCAACTCCCTGTAGCAAAAAATTGTAGCGGTTGCGGACATATGTTCACATGAATTCTTCTTCATAAAATGACCTGAGGAATCACACCCTACAATATTAGCATACCATTTAAAAACACCCTGTATAAATTGTAAAAACAGGGAAGCCTTTTTAAATTTTTAAAAACTAATTTATGATCTGTTATCTTTGATCAGATACCTACCAATTTTATCAAAAACCAATATTAGTCGAAATCTGCTGACTTTTAAAAATAAATGTTTTTTTTAACTGCTCACCCTGTATATATCTGACCGGAAGTATAACCGGTTTTGAGCCAAGAGGAAGCCTTACCTGCATACAAAATTTGAAGTTTTTCTCTTAAACGTTTTTGAGCTATCGCGCCAACAGACAGACGTCAGACAACAGATGGCGGACAGCAGACAGAGCGACGGAATGGGGAAAACATGTTTTTAGTAATCTATAGGGACACGAAAACGTAAAAATCTAAATTTTCGCGATTACAATACTTCCCTTTTATCGAGGGAAGTAAAAATAAAATAAGTATACTCAATCTCTTGAATGCTCCTCTACTAATTTAGTTTTCTTTGTATGTTTCCGACTGGCTTTAAAGTCACACTATATCTCTTGCTTGTACTATACCTGAAATTGTTATTAGCATCTATAAAATAACTTTGTACGCCATTGTATCGCGTCCACTTCGGTTAGCTCCACCGTAAAACTGTCAATTTCTGTGTATGAAGTGGTAAAACTCCGAAAAGCCTTTCAAACTTCTGCCCCTGCTTTAATCCAAATTAAAGCACTCAATATGTGTCATTACTTTTTAAAATGGGTGAAAAATAACAGTAACTGCGTTAGTTTTACAAAGTAACTCAATCGTTATTTCGTTACAGTAAAGTGTTATTGTGATAGTAACGCTCTATAAACTATAAGTGCTGTGTTTGAAAAGTACCTCGTTTTTATTTTTTACTCGATGCCATTCTTTTTTCTCCGTTTACTCCATTTATATTGTTTGCTCGCCGTCACGTGACCAAAAACTCTTCTCGCTGTGCTCGAGGAGGTACATTTCAAACGTAGCATGTCATTCTTTTTTTCTGCTGTTTAAATAAGTAAAAAAATGTTTCTGTTTTTGGGCACGTCACTGTTTTTATTAACATTAATTCCAAGGCCTACTTCGCAAACATTATTTTTTTTGGATCATTCCTTACTTTCCAAATCTAGTCACCCGGTATTCTTTAAACTTCAAAAATAATTTAGAAGCCATCTGTTTCATTAGTTTTCCTTAAATTTTTTATCTTAAAAGGAAAAATGGATAAGGTTAAAGTAGAGATGGAACTCATAGAGCTGCTAAAAACAAGCAATGATAATACGTATGCTGATATTATCGAGAAAATGGACATGTATAATCAAAAATTAAAAGAATTTTACAACGATTTGGCTATGATGAGATTTGACGTAGCTAGAGTAAAGCTGGAATTTTTAAAAGCGCAAAATGTCTTAAATGGTAATTTGATGGATAGAACGCTTTTGGAAAATCTTAAATCTGGTTCGTTTCAAGATTTTTCTTAGTGCCCAATTTTGATCGTTTCAGTTAAAAATTTTTGACACATTGAAGATTTTGTTTTGAAAGAACTTGTTCAGACAGCGGAATCCGCGCGCATCAACCGGGCAGATCTTATTTACGTGAAAGTGTACCTAGCATAGATAAATGGTACCTAGTTCACACGGATTCGCTGTGTCTGAACGAGCTCTAAAATGTATTGTCAATTAACTATTGTGGTACAATTTTTAATAAAAAATTGACTTTTCAAGTAATCTATTCACTTAAGATGGGAATATGAGAAAAAGACAATGATTTTCATTCGTTTTGTTCGGCATAATTTTAATAGTTTAAATGGTAATTACTAACACTAATAGGCTGTACTACAAGGGTTATACAAAACACAGATTATTTTTTAGGGTACTCTTTCCACAAGTTCTTTATTTCAAATGTTACACTAGACTAGAAGGTGAGTAATGTATCTATATTTTATAATTTGGTCAAAAATTATAAATAGATTCTTGCAATCGAGTTTAGTTTAGGTTTGTGGTTATAGGGTGGCAGCTGTTACAACAGAATTGCAGGAAATACGTAATTTATGTCCCAGCTACAATTATAGAGTAGAATAGAGATTACAAGTATTCATTAACATTTTATTTCTATTCTTATTAAGATTGTAATCATTTAAACAATAAAAATGATTTGGCAAACAATATTATATGTAATAGATCATCTTTTAAGAGGATGTCTTGTAGCGGTCTCCAGGGAAATGGATTAGGTTGATGGGTGCACGATACACATACTTTCGATTCAAATTTCGTCCAAACCGCGCAGTGACGTAATGCGGGACAAACTTTCAAGTTATTTTGACACTTTTCTATTGAATAGTGTAAAATATTTATTTGTTTTTGTGTTAGTAGTGACTATATTTTCCTGTATATAACAGAGAAGAACTGAATTAATGTTTAAAATGCCGGGCTGCGCGGTGGCGACTTGCAAAAATCGTAATACGAAATCTAAAAATAGTGTAATGTAAAATATTTCCAAATGCCACAAAATGTGGGTAAATTCTTATCGAAGAAACTTAAACAATAGTTAGTAAAATGCCCAAGTATAATAGGTTTAGAAGCAAAGAAAATAAATAGGTATTTTAAAATTTTAGTAGATAAAACGGTAGTTTCATATCCCAGTACAACGGTCCCTTTTGAAGTAATACTATGCATGAGC